CCCCCCCCGCATGGCAAAGCAAACAGCGGAGAGGCTCTACCACCACCCGCAAAGATGAAGTCGCACTTTTGCACGTTTGCCCACAAAACACAGGCCGGCGCGTATGACTGTCTGCGGCCCCGCGGAGCCCCTCCAGCTCCACTCCTCCCAAAACTTTGGCGGTATCTCAGCTCGCGCCGCGCCGCCCGCGCCCGCCCGCGCCCGCCCGCCTCCGCTTCCTCGCAGGTTATATTTCGCCTTGTTTGTCGCCAGGATGCTTCATTCGCGGCCGCGGCGGCGACTATTCACTCCCCGAACATTATGAGGGACTAGCTTCTCCTTTGGACCGCGGCCCCGGCCCTACGCGCGGCCAGGCAAGCAGCGCGTTCCTCTGCAGGCGCGCGCTTTCCTTTTGCTTCATCCCTTCTTCAACTGCTGTTGCGAAGGTTGTTTTGTAACAACAGCTGAATGCTTGGATCAGCTCACAAATATTTTTGAGGCGAGACAAACTATTTACTGTTTACAATTAACAAGCCGAATGGGTAGTGTGGGCAGTCCATTCTTGTGCTATCCACCCGAGAATAACGGGGTTGACTTTTACCGTAAGTACTGTCTACGACATCCAGGAAAATAACGCAATTTTTTAATTCAAAATGACAGACAGAGGGGGTATCTAGAGCCCATGATAGCCTCGTGAACCTGTGTTCTATACTGCCTTGTTTTTAGAGCACCCTTACTGAAAAATCAAGGGTGCTCTAAAAACATTTTGCATTAAAAAATTGCGTTATTATCCTGGATGTCGTAGACAGTACTTACAGTAAAAGTCAACAAAGCACAAGGTTAAACTTGCACATCATTTTCAAAAGGGTAAGGAGTGCGCCTAGGTGATCTGCTCCCCTCTTATTCCGCATCACCGGTCTCGTCCACGTGCAGAGAGGGGGCGGGCGCGGGGGCGCCGTGGGGGGCAGCGCGGGGGGCGGCGCGGCAAGAGGGGCCTCCGGGATCATTTACATGCTTAACTCCCGAAACCATGAAATGAGGCAAATTATAATCGCCGCCCCTTTACGTGGAATAGTTATGGGCTCGGCGCCGGCGGCCGGCCGGCTATGGCCGACATCCCTGATGGTTTATCAGCGTCGCCCGAGGAGGTGGAAGCGAGCGCGGGGGCGTCCCCGAGAGGAGGTCCCCCGGGAACGGAGGCTGGGGGGCGGTGGGGGCCGGAGCCGGGGGCGGAGCGCGCGTTCATTGTCTCACCTCGGGCGCGTCATCGGGGTCGGCCCGTCGACGCCGTCGGCCTAACGAGGCCAAACGTCGATGGAATGGCAAAAAGGCCGGGTGGCGCTCGCTCTGCAGACGAAACCGACCGGGCACCTCGCTCGACGGCATAAGCCCGTTTACCGCCCTCTAGTTTGCCATTTTCTCGTGTTACACGTACGAATTTACCCTTTTGCCTTTCACATACACCAACATTGGAACTCTCTCATTCAACGACATTTTTGAATGGCGCGGAGTTGTCGAAATAGGCTTGTGTATTTTTCCTGGCCCGTATAAAAAGTACCCCCATCCCATCACCCCACCTCTCGCCCACGATCACCTTGACGTTGGGACGGAGCCAGGAGGCTGGCGGGTGGGGAACGGGGGGAGGGGGGTTACCTAGCTTCGAAATGAGGCGTCCTTACTATCACTGCAAGACAACGGCCCGGTGCGCGCCGCGGCGAGCGCCATGCTGCACCCGCCTGGGGCCACTAACTACCTTTATGCCGCGATGGCTGTCCGGGGCCTCCGCCGCCGGCCTCCTCTCCGCCACGACAGCCTCCCGCCGCCAGGGCCTCCGCTGGATGTTGTCGTTGTCTGCGGTGCATAATGACAGGTATAAGAGGACGGTCATGGCCCCTCTCAGGATCCTCGCGGCGAATAAGCCTCATGGCCACCACAACGTCTTGTAGCGGCTCTTACCGCTGCTGTCAGGCCTCGCTCCTGAACACACACACAGACACACACACACAGTTTTCTCTTCCGTTTCTATCCAAACCGCCCTCCTCGCTGCAGCAGCCGTCGAACCTCTTGCGGCGGACACCGACCCCCCGGCGTCGTCGTCGGCAACGCGGTGAAGAAAGAGAGGGGGTGTTCTGAAGGGATCCGCTCGCCGGAAGCTCGCGTCCCCGCGCCCTCCTCCGCCGCTGCAGCGGCACCTGACAACATTCTCGGCGCTCGCATCACTGCAGCACACTCACACTCGCACACACACACACACACACTCACAGGTTCACACACCGAGGAGCGGTCGTCGGGGAAGTAGCGGAGGTCTAGAACGGCCCGTCGAGTGCTTCTGCCCCTTCCCCCCTCCCCGCGCGGGCCCTGCACTGGCTGGTGCTGCGGCTGCGTCCAGGCCCGCTTGCGTTATGGGCTATTCAAACTAATGGGACCGAATTCCAGTCCCGCTGTTCCTCTACTTCCAGTCCATTATCATATTTCACCCCCACCCCCTCCCCCATCCGC